ATTGTTGGCCGGGGTTTTTCGTCCGACTGTCCGTACCGTATCGTCACGGTACACGCCCTGTATATTCTCCGCATGTATATCGCATGGATTGAATAGGTCACGCGATATACCTGCGGCGGCGGCAGCGGGCGAAGGACTATACGCGTCACCGCGGGTGCTCCACAATAGGTTTGGCGATGGGTTGACGGGGTGGTCGTTTGCAGAATGGCAGGTGAGAGTAGGGGGTCGGTTGACGATGGGCACCCGTAAGGGATGGTAAAAATAAATAGACACACCTCTACTACCCCTCATCATCGCCCCCTCTCGCCCGAGCCCGCCGAGCAGTTGCCGGGGCAAATAAGGTCAACCCCCGTCCCGCCACCCCCCAGGATGTACGGCCTCTAAGCGAAATGCCACACAGGCGGTGACGGATTTTTACCATATATTTTCGTATGCGTAAAATAATAATAGGCTCGACTGACCAAATCTTTTCCGCGTTTTTCCTCGTTCTCCTCTCGACGTCAACCGATTCGATCCAATGTACTATGTTGTAATATTACTTATGTAAAATTACGGTAAATCAGCTCGGTGGGCAACTCAACATAGAGCCGTTCACGAGTGTAAATGACTGGGCGTAATTTTATTTCCGTACGATAATGAGAAATTAGTAAGTGAACAGACATTTGTAGAAAATATAATTGAAACGAATGTAGCTGTAGCCCCAAACGTTAGAAATCCTAAAACTCGGTAGGCCGATATACCTTAACTATCCGTCGCTGCTCCATAGATTCATTAATTATTGGTTATTACTATATAGATGGTTTTAGTATTTTTCGTAAATTAATATAGATATCTTTTATTTACATTACAATAAAGCCAGTATATAGCCATATAGGTATTTGTGTACAGCGCGCATTTAGGTCGTTCATGCTATGTATATAGTATAAAATAATTGCATAATGTTATTCAAGGCATATACACTAACAACTAGGACGCAACTATTCGTTGAGTGAAATTACTATAGCATAACTTCTCCACCACCGTTAACTCCGAGTCTGATTTCGGTTTTACTTCGGCACGTCCGGATAAATACCTACCTACTATTGTTACTTAATGCTAGTCATTACAACATATTTATTGTCAAGACCGGTTTAAGAGGAGGGGGGTCAGGGCTTCATGGCCCCAGGCCCACAACGGATATCGACCAATAGAGGGCCCCAAGCGGTTAATAGTGTAATACGTTTCATTTAATATATGGATAATGCCGATAATGGATATATTATTATTACTATTTTCCCCCAAACTGATATTAATCCCCGCGCTTGATTATTGTGTATTAAAGTACCTATTATGAACTATCGAATTAAAATAATTATATTATAAATTATACGGACCTTTTGCTTTTTCGTTTCTAATCAGGCCTTTGCGTTTTTACGATGATAACAATATTATATTTTAAGTGTTGAGACAATATTTTATAGTCAAGACTATTTTACTGGTATAGTGTCTGGTCATGGTGTTGTACTGTTGTATAAAATATAATATATTATATTATAATACCTACGACCATATTATATGCATAAATTACAAACACGCCACACGGGATTTCACATGAAATTTTATAGGTATAAGAACCAAAAAAAAAATATATGTACCTTGTTAAAATTTGTTATACTATTACACTTTTTTATAGTCACTTTTTAGATTTTCATCACAATTTGAATTTAAATAATTCAATTGTGATTTAAAATATATTTTCGCCAACTTAATTCACAAGTCTTTTTTTTCAAAACCATTAACTCATATTTTCTTTCTTAATTTCGTATAGTAACCATAAAGTCACGATAAATGGTGAATAGAATCCGAAATCCTGATATACCGTAAAAACGATAACTTGGATTTCCGACAGTTTTTATACAAGTATTTTGTAATTGCGAATTATTCAAACACTTTTGATAATCAGAATTTTACCACTGATAGAATTTAATATACAAGTACACAATATGGTCAATTATTAATTATTGTGTTTTTTAAACGATTTGTTAATACTTGCATATTGCTGTGCATACATAACAACGAGATGTAAAATATATTATAATTTATTGTACAAAAATACCAGTGGCTTAAAACAGTTGTTCAACGTTTTTCGCGTGGTCTCCCCTCCCCTCCCCCTACAACTGTCCAGCACTGACAGACGACCACCACAGTTGATTGAAAACCGAAAAAAAAACAAAATCTTAATTATAAGGCCCTGCAGAAACGAAAAAAAACTCTATGTTATAATAATAATAATTGGATATAAAATACAGTGACAGCAGTATTACGGTAAAATATGATTACATCTCACTGATGCACTCGTTTTTGAACCCATCGACGACTTTCCGTGACTGGATACAAAAAAATAACATCATACTAAAAGTTCGATCAATAAAAGTTTCACCATGTTTTAGTACCTACTTAAAAACTTAACTTTTTCTATTTTATTTTTGTTTAAGCAAAGTATCGAAATAATGACTGTTTTTCAATTTATCGATCACCGGATACCAATTAAAACCAACAACCGCAGAATAATTTATAAATTATTATCGTAACTGCTATAGGTAGTAATGCAATTGCGATATGCGAACCGCCATCCATTGTCCCGGTAATTTTAATTTTCTTTGCATTGTTTATAGGTTTAATTTTTATATTTTATTATCCAATAAATACCGCTAAATGTTAATTTTAAATGGTAAAAAGTATGATATTATTATAACCAGCAAATTATTTACAGCGATATACAATAATGAAATTCTAATTCGACAGGAGCCATAATATATTATAGAGCTTGCGTGAAAAATATGGTCAGTACTTGTCTACAACTAGCCATATTAAACAGGTACGCTTTTAGAATAATACTGAACTAAGTACCTGAGTATAAAAATAAATTTAATTTGGGTGTTGATTGGTTATGATATCGGGTTACACAACCGAGTGTCATCAGTGGCGTAGACATGATTTCTGAAAGGGGGGGATTAAAAATAGAAAACGACATAGGTAAATGGGAGGGGAAAATTGGAAAATCGCCCTGCACCCTCTCAAAACATTTCACTTAGGTACCAAGTAAAATATTTAACAATAAGGAACAATGAATATAATTTGAATCGATTCAAAATTCATATCAAACACAATATGGAAGATTTATGGTGGGACAATATGGACCTCCACATCCCCCCTTATATACGCCCTGAGTGTCGTCGTATTAAAGCAGTTTAATAATTTTCGTCCCGGTCATGTTTGAGCCATCGACCGCCGTTTACGTGGATTATAGTTGTTGCATCGAACTTTTAGGTAAGTATACATTTAACACATTAGGTACCTACTATAAAAGTTACAGTTATTATTAGTTACTCATATTTTTAAAAAAAATTCTTAACACACACTCGCAATGTGCACACACCTACACACACACACAATAGGTGTAATAAATTAATTGTATTAACGCATACAGTGCGACTAGTGAGACCATACACCGCATACATAATATCATAGTAATGATCAGTTAAATTAATATACACTATGATACAGGTAGTCGCTAAAAACTCGGGTAGTACCCATCAGAGAACTATGGCCGATGCTTGACCTCTCAGAACACGTTTGTGATTGAGGCCAACTACCGAGACACACCAAGACCAAATATATTTTGAAATTGATAGGTTCCTACATTGTATACATATTCGCTTTGGGCAATGCTTAAAATAGATTCTGCCAAAGTCAGATTTTAAAATCAAAGTATACAACAATACTGTCGGGGTACGCCCGTGGTACATTGTCTTTGATATTATATAATGATTATATTATTTATAAAGGCTGAGGAACAACTTTATTTACCGTCCAATTGTTCCAAGTCGATTAGATGAAATGCATTCAGACATATATGACGTGTGTGTGTGCGCCAGTTTCGTTTTGAAATGTGAAAAACTAAATGAAAATAGTATGTATGAAAATATTATATATTTATATAATGCGGCTGAGGCGGTGCCTTGGTGTAAAATGAACAACAACAACGATGGTATAAAAGATGGTGGAAAAGATTTTTCGTTTTTTATTTTGTTATAAAAATGATTATCCCTGGGAAATGTCGGGCGGCGCAGCACCGGTGCCAGAGATTCTCTTTTCACCCCAATTAATTAAAAATACTTAAAGAGAAGATCACCGTTGCCGCCTCGGCCATATTATTATTATATAATACTCCGCGAACATATTATTATTATTATAATAACAAATAATAATCATTATTATTATTTTATAGTGGCACTGCGTAATTATAATATACATATTTTATATACACAATAATATATAATATAATAATAATAATATGTACTCGCCTCACTGCAGCTACGGCAGACAAGCGCGTGCGGGCTGGTCCAAAAACATAACGTCGTCCCATTCAATTCGGGTAGGTAATTAAATTTGTTTAATGAATCCGAACGAAACGGCGATCGTGCGTGCGCGAGTGATGACGAGAAGTGGGCGAGGGGAAAGCGAACGAGGGCGAAGTTTTTCAGCTTACCCACCTGTAATCCCCCTCCCCCGTGGGTCGTCGTCCCCAGCGAGCATATAATCGAAAACGTCAAAGTGAAATTACGCACGACTACAACCGTGGTTGCGACAAACACACATGATACCTGCATGATGGTACTATAAATGTTTTCTATGACGCACATAAAGGCGCGTTCCCACGGCGCGTGGCTCGGCGAGCCACGAGTCAAATGCGCTGGCTTGGTACACTACACGCGCCGTGGGAACGCTCTTGCTCGTCTAGGCGTGGTATAGCTCGCCCAGGCTCGTGTCTATCCAAAATTTGTCGGTCCGATGTGTCCGCGCCAAAGTAAACGAGCCGCGCATTTAGACAGCGTTCCCACAGGCGTGCGGTTCGGCGAGCTATTGATAGTACCTATACGTTATTTGGTATAGTACCTATACGTTTTTTGGTCTTTTTTATTTTTTAATCACTATTCAAATCATTAATATTTATTATCATGGAATGGTCAAATGACGAAGTAATAGAGTTTTTGCAACTATATGAAGGATATCCACAAATTTGGAACCCACGCCATCCGAGTCATAAAAACAGAAACTTAGTTCATGATGCGTGGAAGGAGATAGAAAATAAATTAAGGTTAGATTAATTTTTGAATTTTTTATAATATTTTTAAATATTGATTTTTTTATTTTTGTAATTTTAGTGTCAAAACTGACATTACAGAAATAAAAAAAAAAAAGATTCTCTTATGGCTACTTATAGAAAACTTTTAAATAAAGTAAAAGCAAGCAAGGGTACTGGGAGTGGTGCCAAAGACGTAATTCAGCCCGACTGGTTTGCCTACAATGCAATGTCATTTCTGCATGGGATTTACGTTGCAAAAAAAACAATTTCAACAGAGGTAAGTTTAATTAGTTATATTTTGTTTAATTATATTTTATTATTTGGATAATACACTTCGTAGGCTGCAGTAGCTTCTTCCATCAACCTTTAATTGTAAATAATATAGCCCATATTCGTATTGTGCCTCTATTGGTACAGATTGTATATTACATATAAAAAATAAAAAATATTATTTAATTAATAAATATTTATTTATTATTTTTTATACTTTTACTATGATATATTTCAATAATATTATATTCTCCTAAGTACGGCTCTGTGCACGTTAAAAATGCCAATAGCCAATGCAGAAAATATAAATAGTAATATAAATATAAATAGTAATCATTCACGTTGCTCTAGTCACCGGTTTAGACATGTAGTAACCGGTGTCGACATGTATTCTACCAACCATAGTCTCTATGTTATTTTTGTCCATTTAAAGTGTAGGTATTTATGTTTACGATATAGCTGTGAAAAATAAATATGAATGACCTGAAATAAACTACTACATCGTCTATATAATTTTAAAAGCAGAAATAAATAATAATCTAATCAATAAAATAGTTTCAATGAAATAATTACTAATGTATTTATCATAAATATTTTTAAGTTTAAGTTTGGTTTAAAAAATGAATAATTCTATTAAGTATTTTAATATGTTAAATGTATTTTATTAATGCTATTTTTATGAGTGTATATAATAATAAGAATATTAAATAAATAACGTAAATACAAATACGTAAATACGTATATTACAAATATGTTACATAAGCAATAATAATTTAATTTTAACTTATTATTTAGCATTTTCTTGCCATTCCACCGTTCCGCTTGTCATAAAATATTCAGCAAACTGATCCCTAACCATTTTTGCTTCAAGTCCAGATTTTCTCGGTACTCTTTGTAATGGGAACATAGATTTGGTACAATTTTGCTCGGACCTCCAAGAACCTGGTATTACAATTCCATCATTATTTTCAGTATCGAAAATTCCAGGTGGTGTGTATATGGAATTTGATGATCTGCTTTTCCTTAAGAAATTATGCAACAATACACAAGTCATTGTTATATCTCTAACTTTTTCTGGCTCTAAAAGTATAGGTCCTCTAAATACACGGAATACTGAGGCCATAATTCCAAACACGTTCTCAACTACTCTGCGTGCTCTAGACAGTCGATAATTAAAAATTCTTTTGCAATTTCCATTTTCATATACTCCTGAGTAAGGTTTCATTATGTTCTTACTTAGGGCAAAAGCTTCATCAGTCACAAATACATATGGTAATGAAACATTTGTATTAGGTAGTATTCCTTCTTGTGGTATTAATTCATCAGTCTCCAGTTTTTTAAAAAACGACGTGTTCCGAAGTACGCCACCATCACTGATTCTGCCTTGACAGCCAATGTCCACATAAGTAAAACTATAATTCGAGTTCACGACAGCCATAAGTACAATACTAAAAGTTCCCTTATAATTATAGAATTCAGATCCACTGTTTGCAGGGCACTGGATCACTATATGTTTTCCGTCGATAGCCCCGAGGCAGTTGGGGAAATTCCATTTATCGTAAAAATCTGTTGCTATATTTTTCCAACTACTTTCATTGGTTGGAAACTAAAAAAATAATCAATGATTGATTTTCATTACGTTGCGTTTTTTATTTTAAAATTTTTTTTAAACTTATAACATATTATACTGTTTTTATTATAACCATAATATTTAAATTAACATCTAAATGTAACTGAATTTAATTATTCATATACGTCCACAATGTACCTATAGGTATTTATATTTATATACTTTTTGTAAAATTAAGACTATAATACCTACATTAAACATTTTAAATATAAATACAATTAATTTACTATCTAGTGATCTTTAGTTGAGTATTGTAATTAATCATTCAAAAATACGTATTTGAAATACATTTTGAATTTTATACTATATTGACATACATAGAATATAATAACATAGATATATGTTTCTCAATTTTATTTTAATAATCAAACAAACCATATATTTTATTATTTTTATCAGTTTGAAAATTTGGTGGATGACGACAACACGACTGAAAATTGTCAATTGCACGACGCAAATGAAATCGATGATCCTCAGACTCCGGACTGCAATTTTAAGAGCCCATCTCCGTCATCCAGTAAATTAATTAAAAAAAGAAAATCAAATGATAAAGTGGAAGTTATTGAGAACAAGATGGACGAAGCATTTACAATTTTAAAACAAATTACACAAACTCCGGCCAAAAATAAGTGTACACTCTTTACCGATTTACTTTGCGCTAAATTAGAATCCTTAAATGAATACAAACAAGACATTGCAATGATGGAGATTGACAATCTTATGTTTCGGTTAAAACATTCAGATAACCAAATGGTACAGCCTCAACCACCCTATCATCAATTTCCAAGTACCAATATCCCGATATATTCTCAACAGTTACACCATGATAACTATTCAACAGCATCATCATCATCATCATCATCTATTCAGCCATTACCATCACCAGAGTACATATCTTCTACGCCATCTACATATTACCATCAACATTTTCAACAATTGCAAAAACCAACACCAACAACATTACAACACAGTAATGTAGGAGAAAAAGGTGTTGACTATTGATCAAAATACTAATTTTGGTTCATCTTACTAAAATAAGCATATTGTAACATGCAATTTAGTATAGGTATGTAGGTACTAAATATTGTTTTTATACATAGAAGATATTAATTTTTTTTATTAAAATGTTTATAATACATTCTGTATTATTATTTATTAATTTTAAATATTATTAAGAAAAAAAGTGTTTTTCAAAGTTTCAAATTTGATTTTATTAATTATTTGTTTTTTTTTAAAAATATTATTTTATTAAAAGGTATTATTCTAATAAAAGATATGTTTTAAAATATAAATACTTTACCATGATTTCATTTTTCAACTCCTGATTTAACGCCCTACAAACTTCCATAATACACCTGGAAACAGTTTGACTTGAAAACTTGAACAAGTATGACAAGCTCTTAAAGCTATCTCCTGTGGCTAGGAACCTTAAGGTAACAGCTAGCCTTTCCTGAACCGGAATACATTTTCTCATATTTGTGTCAGTTTTACATATGGTTGGACCAATTTTTTGAATAAGATATTCAAAGTCTGTAGCAGACATTCTACAGAAGTTTTGAAACTTGTTAGATGGTCCTCGTTTTAAATCTTCTAACAGATCCGTTGCATTGTACCTATATTGTAGTATAATATATTATTAATAATATTAAATACAACTATAGGATAATATTATTAAATTTAGTATTTTCTATCAAAAACTTGTTAACTATAAGTTTTAAAAAAAAAACTAGTTTGTAATAAATTATAAACTATTATGTTCTTGTATGTACATTTAAAGTTAAAACTGTTAAAAAAAGGTAGTCAGTAAAAACTAAATATAAACAAATTAAACTAAAATTAAATTTAAAAAACCTAAAATTAAATATTAATTTACATAAGCATACTTTACCTAGCACGGCTTTTGTACATTTCATGCATCCAATATCTTCTTTCCTTGCAGGATTTCGTTTTTTCTTTTTCAACTAATTTTCCTTTTAAATAATCACCGCCTACAATTACAATATACGCTGCTGCACAAGCAGCAATTTGCGTGTTATCCAAAGAACGACTCATTTTGAACTGAGAAATTTGGCGGCTTAATTTTGGGCCTAAAAAAAAGGAGGGAGCTCTGATCGGCTCGGATAAGCTCGTGGCTCGCCAAGTCACGAGCCGTGGGAATGCTGTAGAAATTGTAGGCTCGTGATATGCCGAGCACATATGTAGGCTCGGTACAAAAACCGCGCTGCGCGAAGTTCGCCGAGCCACGCGCCGTGGGAACCCGCCTTAATGTCTGTTTCTATTTGTTTGAGTACCCACAGATAGATTATAGGTACTTGCAAGTTGTGGAACTCCGTTGTTATTCGTTAGCGTATTGATTGGTTTTCGATTTGTTCCGTCGTTCGCAGTACAATAACAACAACAACAACAACAACAACAACAATAATAATACAAAAATAGCAATAATATCAGAGTGTAGAAAATATCGCAGCGATTCATTGGTTATCAATAGGGTTCGGATTTGAAGGCAATATAATCAATAAAAAAAGCATTTAAAATGTAAAAAAAGGCAAAAAAAGGCATTTAATTTATATAAAAAGGCAATTCATAAATATACTACAAAATAAAATAGTGAACCTTTTTTAAACACTTTTAAATGCACACATTTTGAGAAAAATACAAAGTAAAAATGAGCATGAATACTAAACTACATTAAGTTTATGCTATTTTGTATAAATAGATTAGGTACCTTTTTCTTTAACCAGGTTTGTCCTAAGAATTAGTTAAAAACAATTTTAAATATTAACTTACTTGAGTTATACCAGTTAATTTAATGCAAAATAAACAAAAGGTAAAAAAAGGCAAAAAGGCATTTATAAGTAAAAAGGCAAAAAAAGGCAAAAAAAAAAAGATCCATTCTCTAAGAAATTAAATGAAACACATTTTTGTATGAAAATTATTTTTCTATAATGATTAATAAAAGAAAGGCATTTGCCTTCAAATCCGAACCCTAGTTATCAACATAGTTCAAAAAATCGTTAAATTTCGAAAACATGTTTGAAACAAATCAAATTTTTTTTTTTTAACTTCACAAAAATATGTTGCATTACCCACGAGAGAATAGATACTATTAATTGACAATATTTTAACGAATGTAGTCGATATTAATTTTCTGGTTTAAAAACAAGTTACCAGCTGCACTATCTCCCCCAACCGCGTTACCAACGTTGAAATAATACATGCGGGCGTCTCTGAAATCATTGTTTAGCCAGATTCTTCGTGATTCTATAATTCTATTGTTATTTCTCTTGTTTTAGTTTTCTCGTTTCAAAGAGAATACAATTTCTTAAGAGTATACGTCCAAATTTAAATTCAAATAAACGTGGTAAATATGCGTCTGGGGTATACGCATATAAAAAAATCCGTGCTTTTTTGAATAATTTAAATATTGATTACACCTAGAATAATAAACAAATTAAACTCAAAACGAGGGTGGAAAAACAGAAGAAACATTTGCATAAAAATCGATGTCATCAATATTTTTTATTTTTTCATTTTGTTGTTATTGACCCAATTTTATATTTTATACCCACAATAGTATTATTATTAACATTAGTATTATTAAACCTACTATTGTATACTTTTTGATTATAGTGCGTATATATTTTTGTTTTTTTTTTTATTTATTATATTTAAGGAATCTATATGTCTCTATAAAACGAGTCGAAACTTATAAACAATTTAATAAGTTTATACTCTCCTGATTTTAATATTTCAAAGGTTTTACGCCTACGTCTCTGCAAATTTGATGGTTTTTGTTTTGCTTGTATTAATTATTTTACAGCATATATAATGCACTTAACCCTAAAGTTACGTCTTGTTATATAATATTACATTTAAATTTAGTGAAGCGAAAGTTAATGAAGTGTTAATGAATATGATTTTTTCGAATTCCACTACTCTAGTTTAAAACACTATGCGTGTTTGTATAACACTATATTATAAGGGGTAACAAGAACAAAATATTAACTCTGTCTTAATAATATTGAGCTAATAAAGATAAGGTTTTATTACTCATTTCGGAATATTTTACTACACGTACACAGTGTATTGAACGTTTAGAGTTTTATGCATAAACGAAATTCCTTTAAGGTTAGTTCTACACTACATTATTTCGATAAGTATTAACATTTAGAAAAACATTATTTTTGGATAATTTGTTGTCATTGCAGAAAAACAGTTTTTAAAGCACAAAAGGTACGTTTCAAAATGTTCATCCACTACGGCACTCTTTCGTCATTCGTAAAAATGTTTAATAATTATGGGTAATTAATTAACTACTCATTTTAAACTATATTAATTGTATACATAAAAGTAGGTACTCAAAAATTCTGTTTCGAAATAATGAAATGAAATATGTTTGTTGTAGTTCAAAAGAGTAGAAAAAACTTAAAAAAAAATGATAACCATAAGAATAATTGTAAGTTATATTATTTTTCCATGACGTTATGAAATCAAAATGAATATTTTCAAATATATGTACCTATTATAACTTTTTGAAACTGTGAGTGTACACACCGATGGACCTTGTGTATTATATTACAGTTATATTACATTTTAATTATTAATTATTTAATTCAATGGATTATAATGATACTTTGGTACCTAAACGATGTTTATTACGTAAATGAAAATCACAATTTTGCTTATTTAATACTTTCGTATTTTGTTTTCCACACTTTAAAACGATATTAATTTAATTTAATTAATCGTCTATTACCTATTGTTTAGTACTAGTAATTTAACAAATTACACACTTCAATGCGCGATTATATCCTGTAGATGTTATCTAGATGTTGAAACTACTCGTTTTTACAAATTATTAATTTGTATATAATAACCACAAATGCATGGAGGCGGTACCTATTATGTATACAGTACAGTTTAATAGTTTATTTAGTAATATTTACAAAACAATGATTTAATTGACTACTAAATTAAACTTGAGACATAAGGCATTCACTATAAGACTAAATTTATTTTTTAATCCATTTTTTATTCCTATTAAATTGTTTATAAAATATGTACATACGTTAAAATGCTGTGTTTTTTAGGTTTTTTTAAATCACTAGTCGGGATTTGTAGCGTATCCTGCTAATATTACATAAAGCTAGAGCTACACCAGTCTTGTCGACCATATTTAATATATATATATACATATACGTATACACATACGAATAATATTGTGAAATTACTCCACGAAATTGTAGCTCGCTGGCCTAATATAAAAATAATAAAAATCTTATTATAGTATTCGTGGCATGCATAATATTCGGTGTATGAGCGTTAGTGATGGCGGGTCGTGTGGGTGAAACCTTAAGTAGCGATTCGGATGTCGGGGAAAAATATTTTATCTCTATTTCGGTTGGGTTGGGATGGAGTGTATGAGCGTATAATATCACGGAAACTCAAAATAAGTACTTGGGCGTCATGTTGTACCTACGTGGCATAATAATATAGAGCCGCGTGGACGATTTTTGTTCGGGAAAATGGAAAATTTTCTACGATTGTCCCAGAAGACGGACGCCACCCGCTGATACCTTAGACAGGGCGTTACGAACCCGACGGACGATGAACCGTAATTTGTGTTAACGAAATGGGGATTATATAATATTATACACTCACACAAAGGGAGAACCAGAAACCATACGTAATGATAGCCTATCCCTCGTCGGGAAAGACACAATATGTCTCTTAAATTTCAAGGGAGAATTTTGTTTACTGAGCGTTACATATCATTATGTATTTATTTATTAAAATATAATTTCACCACAGTAACGATAATGATGTCAGCATATCAACCCATGACAAATCTAGGGGTAACAAAAAAAAAAGTCTTACGAATTTCAGATTGACCCCTAAGACTCTGCCAGCAGGTTAGGGAGACTTAGGGTGCTAGCAGGAGACGTACATAATATAGTTTTAATAAAGTATAACCCACTCCAGACTTTCAGATGGTGAAAAGTTTGATACTTTCCTCGGAAAAAAATGTTCGCTAGATCCTACCGTCTTATAGGTACACGGGTTCGTGGTCTCAGTAGGTGTAGAAATATTCTAATAAAGACGATATTATGATGTATTGTAATAATTTATAAAATATCGCTTTATAAGGCATGCATGCTGCACTACTCATTATTTACGCAGCTCTATATTGGGTGTTAAGCTATGCAGTATATACAACATTTTGCATTTATAATATTAACAGTTGAACGGCTCGACTTGTCACATCAGTCGTATAATACAAGATTTAAAACACCCCGATGAGGCGTACAATATTTGTTAATTATTTATGTAATTAGGCCGTAATCCAGAATGTGTAATATTATGACGTATAGTGCGCATAATATAGCTATATAAAAAAGATTAGTGAAAATACGCCAAAGAAATGATAATAATAATATATAAAACTCAACGGTAAAATAAAATCATTAACTGACCAAGAAGTACTTTTCACGTTCAGCATTTTAAAAATGTAGAAATTATAATTTAAAAAAATTCTGTAATAGGATAAAAAAGAAAAAGACATGCTTGCAGGCGAATCCTCCTGTATAATAGCGCATACCACCAGTTTATAATATATTATTTATTTATTGTCAATTTAAACGATTTAAAACTCAATATAAGTTATAAACATACGTGTGGGAAGTATAATAATAAAGCACAATTAATGAATAATACATAATAAAAAACATAAACGGTGATTAATACCTATCTTTTATTGTAAAATAACAAAAAGACTGAATAGAATTAAAATGGAATAGATCAATTTTGGTATCGTTAGCTAATCTCATGGATCTAATTAAAGGAGAATTTATTATAGCATAGTTAGTACTGTGTAATAATTGTACATAAAAAGTATAAGCGCTTACCTAGTTTTTGGTTTTTGATACATAACGACTTATCAAATTTATAAATCCGAGAAATTCTAAACAGTCTATATAGCCATTGACCGATCATCTAAACAAGAATTTTAACTCATATATTATATTTCTCTGAACAACAATGATGCTCATATTTATAGTATGACTGATTACTATACTTATAAATAGGTAGACGGATATGTTAACGTCATAAAAAATTATTATTTTATTCGATACGAATTCGTATAAAGCCTTTCGTTAAAGCCTTTAAAATAGAGATCCGAAACGCATCTACATAAC